AGACTGGTATACAAAAAGAAAGAAAAAAACGCAAACAAATGTAAGCCAGACATTAAGTGATAGATGCAGTGTCCATGTGAAATAAATAAACCTAGTGAATCTTTAAAAGGGTAATTGATTAAATATTCTTAAAATATGTTTCAGCAGTTATTCTAAAGATAGTAAGTTGCTAAGATTTTTGTAACAGGTTTGGATAACATTAGAATCTCAATCAGTAAAGAATAATTAAAAGGGTACTGTTTAGAAGAAATATGTGTCTGGAGTATGTATTGAGTATTTGATCACTAGGCCTCATGCAGGACGTGTTTTCACAAACAAATTCATTCTTGAAAAATTTCTTATATGACATTCACCATTTTTATCCTATTTTTATTCTTCTCTCAGGTATTAACAAATTTCACAAGTTCTCCGGACTTGACAGAGGACTCTAGCGGAATCATTCAGCTGTTGTCCAAGCCTAGCTTTTCCCTAAATGCCAATATTTGTTGTTAATTAGAAGTAATTGTCAATTTTATAACGCTACATTATATTACATTATGAAACTCTATAAATGACATTTTTATTAGCTGATGACAGCCAAGAGGTGGAGACCAAGCTTTGTGTTTTATGTGAGTCAGATTCTACTAAGTGATCCAGCCAACTTCCCTGGATCGAACATGCTTTTAATTCTGCTCCTTCCAGCACCACTGGACTTTCTCCGTTTTATGTTGTTTTTGGTTTTCAGCCTGCGGTGTTCACCATCCAGCAGAAAGATTAAAAGGTTCCTTCGGCCCGGTTATCTGCATTGAGATGCAAGCAAGCCTGGAGGAGGGCTAGGAAAGCAATCTTTAATGCATTGGAGAGCCAAACCAAGGCTGCTAACCGCCGGTTAGGATCTTCACCAAGGACCTGCCCTTGAGGGTGGAAAGCAGGAAGCTGACACCTCGGTTCATCAGGCCATTCCCTATTGATAAGTTGGTGAACCCAGTGGCCGTCCGCCACCAGCTCCCTCGTTCTATGAGAATTCACCCAATTTTTCATCTGTCCTTTTTTAACCCATTCTAACTTCTAGGTTTGTGCCCACCTCCAGACCTCCTCTGGGGGTTGGGGAGGCAGTTCTGTTATGATCTTGGCACTGATCCCCTGTTCTCTTTACCCGCTTATCCAATCCACCTGTATTAGTCTCTATTTAACCATCCTTCAGACGAGTCATGAGTGCCAGATTATTTCAAGCCTTTGGGGAGACTTATTCTTGCGTTCCTTTGACCTCATTACCTGATCCTGACCTGATCTCTGTCTGTTTGTGTACCGAACTGGAACTGTGAACCGACTCTGTCCCGTATTCTTCCTCAGCATTTCACCAGATCTCTGATCTCCTGGCTCTGACAGGATTATCCTGCCTACATTCGTCAGCTCGGTTCTTATCTACTGCCTATCCTCTGACCGCCAAGACATCAGCCTATAGGACCCTCTGGATGCCGCCTGATGCGGACCATCCTCACTATCTGGATTCCGACTGAACTAATAGACTAGAGATTTCTGCCTTAGATGCCACTCACTTTTGAGAAATTTGTTTGTACACCTTGAATACTAGATCCTTTTGTTCTGTGCTTGACAGTGGGATTATTTCTGAAACTGTTTTGAAGCCCAGACTGGTCTTCGGATGTTCTGGAAGACTGTTCCTAGGTGAGCACTCTCTTTTTCTCTCTTTCTCTCTTACCTTCCATATCTCTCTCACTCATGCTAAACTACTTCAGATTAATTAAGCATACATGACCAAACCCCAGTCTGGTCTCCAGTTCCACGGCAGTAACCTCATGTGGAGGTTTGCCTTGGTTAGCAGTGTTGAGTCAACAGAAAGCTCTGACTACGTTGTCTATAGCCTCCGTTATTCAACATAACAACCCACAACATGAAAAAGATTTTAACAGGGATGAAAAGAAAAGCAGAGAGAGACAAAGATAATGAGACAAAAGAAAGTCACCCGAAAGCTAAGACAAGCAAATACGACGAAGCGTATTTAGCTCTTGGCTTCATTGTGACTACAGTTGGAGAAGAGGAAAGACCGGTGTGTTTGGTGTGTCTAAAAATGCTCGCAGCGCACAGCATGAAGCCAAATAAATTAGCGCAATTAAATCAATTAAATATGTTACACCCCAATCATACAGATAAGCCGCTAGAGTTTTTTCAGCGAAAACGTGCTGAATATTTCCAACAGTCATCCTGCTTTGTGAAGGCTACTTCAGTAAACCATCGAGCGCTGTAAGCATTATATAAGGAGGCGTACCAAATTGCGCAGTGCAAAATTCCCCATACCATAGCAGAGGAGCTTTTACTGCTTGCAGCATTAGAAATGGTCTCTGTCATGCTGGACGACGCCAGTGCAGCAAAACTAAAAACTATCCCTCTGTCCAATGACACGGTCGCCAGACATATAGATGACATTGCTAATGATCTTCAACAACAGCTTATAGATAAACTCAAAGACAAACGTTTTGCCTTACAATTTGATGAAGCAACTGACAGCAACAAAGACTGTCTGTTTATGGCTTATGTACGTTTTGAAAAGTCAAACTCCCTGTGTGAGGATCTACTTTTTTGTAAATATGTCAGAGAAACAGCCACAGCTGAAGAGCTATTGAAAAATCCGGCTAAAGTGGGAGAACTGCATTGGTGTTTGCAGTGATGGTGCAAAAACCATGGCAGGGAAGAGAAAAGGACTTAGGGCACTCATCAAGACAGCCTTACCTCATGCTGAGTGGACACACTGTATTATACACAGAGAAACAATTGCATTCAGGCAACTTTCACCTGAATTAAGTGAGGTTTTGACTGACATCATAGGTGTAGTCAATTTTATAAAGAGCAGACCACTAAAAACAAGAGTATTTTCTGCCATCTGTGAGGAGATGGGAGCTGAAAATCAAGGAAAAGTCTTGTCCCAAGTTTTTGAGCTCTGAGAGCAAATAAGAGTGTTTTTGGAGCAGGAGCACAAGTATGAAGTGGCAGAAAAGCTGTGCACTGCAAAACATGCTCATTGTAGCCATTAAACCTGACTTTTGTCATGATCGGTTCAAGGAATCTGACCCACATGCAGAGAAACCACTCAGAGAAAACAGAGAAAAGTTTAACAGGTTTATTTGTAGCAATGTGAACGGAGGTTGGATCTGGAACTCAGATAACTGGTGAACCGGAACTGGAAAGTCTGAAGGGGAGATCACAGAGATCAGCTCAGGGACCATGAGAAAAGAGGATGCGGCTTGGATTATGCTGGAATGGGACTCACGCTTGAGGGGGCTCTTGTCAATCCTTGAATCCAGTCTGTATGGGTTTATCCAGAGAAGACGGAACTCATTGGAGAGCGGACAGGTAGACATACTGTACGTTGGACCCGGAGGAGTAATGGGAACTTGAACAGATCATGTGGAGGTTTTCCCCTGCTCAGTGTGTACTCAGTAAATCCAGGTTAGACTCAGCTAATCTCAGCTTTGCTAGAGTATCCAAAACTGGCAAACACTCTGGTGTCGAGCAGCCCACTGCTCAAGTACTCCTCCAGTAATGAGCCAACGAGCCGCAGGTGTGCAGGGAGGACCAACAAGGACAGGGCACCTCTGTCATTCCAAGGGGCTGTGGAAAGGATGCTTTTCTTCATCGTAGCATCTTTTTACTTGAAGATCGTAGCATATAGCTTATAATGATCATAGTCTCTAATACTATGTTCAGACCAAATGTGCTTAAAACAGCAAAAGCAGATGGTTGACATGCAAAGTTAATGGTTGACGTGCATTACGGCGCATCAAAATGTCATGCAGCGTGTTTCAAGCAGTTGGAGCAGCACATCTTGATGCATCTAAGCAGCTGAAGCATCTGAAGCAGCACCTCATGAGCTTCTGAGCATCTGAGGGGCGTGAAGCGCTCGATTTGGAAAACAATTTAACTTGTGTTTTGTATACACTCTGTGTATGCAAATAAATTTTGACAGTTTTTTTTTTCTTTTCTTTGATGAGAACTTGTCAACCCCCATATTGGCTAGCAAAGTTAAGTAAGGTTCTACCAGATGATCTCCTGGTGTATGTAAGTACAGGACTAAGTACAATTCCTACTCTTGCTGTTACAAAAACCAATGAGCCAATGACAGTACAGCATTAGTGATCCTTGATATGCTTGACGAAGATATCGTTAAGAGCATCCACAGAGAACAATGTTACCAAATCAAGAGGAGATGGGCAGTCAAAATGCAGCAACGCAAAAAGAAATCAGTCAACTCAAAAGCTGGTCATCATATAGGAATTCTGCAGAATTAAAAACAGATTTGCATACCCAATGCCTTGAAAACTGCTTCCAAGCCTTTGCTGCCCAACTGAAGTGGTACACCAAAGAGATGGAACCCAGACAAATTAACAGACTGCTCTCCACTGAACACATTAGGTATAATCCCAATGGCAAGGTAATAACACACATGAGCCAACCCACCCAGGCTGGATACTCAACAATACTGGAAAGATATACAGGGGAAAGAAGCATCACATAACAATGATGCAAAGTGGCTAAAATACTTATCAATCTAACAGTCTCAGACTGCATAACCAAAAAGAAACAAACCTGTGCACTGCATGGGTTGATTATAAGAAAGCATATGGCTCTATACCACACACACAGATCTGTAGAAGATAAACAGCACTCTAGAGCTTTCAATGCAAACTCAGTTGGACAGTGAAAAAACTATGTTATGGCCTTGTATTTCTTTGAGTTTTCAGTCTCATGTTGATTCATGTTTTTTTCTGTTTTCTAATTTTATCTGTTTAATTCCTAGTTTGTTGAGTTTGTGTGTTTTGTTGTATCTGGATGTATATGAGTTCTTAGTAGTGATGGGTAGGGCAACACCGATGCGTCGGCGCATGTGTCTGTCTCATAGAGCGAAACCTGTGTCGACGTGTGTATCGCTACGGAAAAGTCACGTGACCGAAACAGTTCCTGTATTGGTCACGTGACCGATGTTTCGAACTGATTGACAAGCCTTTATAAGGATGCGCATCTGCCAACGAGATGCATCTGCCAAAACAATCTTGCGTGTTTTGCGAATATAAAATTCATCAAAAATTATGGAGCTTCCTCAAGCAAAAAGAAAGGTTTCTGCCGTGTGGGACCACTTTGATGTCATTTCGGAAAATAAGGTATTTGTTTTAATTTCCTTGTTTCATCCTGTTCCTCTCAGAGTTTCCACTTGATTCATGTACTAAAATACTATTTTTTTTTTTTAAGATGACCTTTGGGAACATTTTGATCTCGAAGTGGGGAGGCAGACCAAAAGTGCCACAGCTGATGCCATCCTTGAGGTGCAGAGATACATGGCAGAGGGCAATATTGCGAGGTCCCAGGATCCTCTTGTATATTGGAAAAACTAAAGGACGGTTTATCCAAACCTCTTCCGCCTCGCCTTAAAATTTTTGTGCACTCCAGCTTCATCTGTGCCGTGTGACCGGGTGTTTTCCACAGCTGGAGAACTAATATCAAAAAAGCGCAACAGACTGAATTTCAAAACTTATTTTTTTTAATAAAAATTTGTAAAAAAAAAATACCAGTGAACAAGCATCTTCATTTACTACATGTTTACTTAGACTTAGACTTAGACTTCACTTTATTAATCCCTTGGGATTACTCCCTTCGGGAAATTGTATTTCCAGTAGCAGGAAAAATTGCACATACAAGAAAATAGAGGATGTTTAGACACAGTATATACAATAGAAAAATAAAATCAATTAAATAAGGTGTAGGAAGATGTATTGGGGGATGAGGATAGACAAATAAATACAGATTAGAGATTATTAAATTATGATGCAGGTTCTCATTATTCATTGACTGTTTCTAAAATATCAAATATGTTTTAATAATAATACAATGCATCATACAATGAATTGCATCATATTAGTGTATATAATAGGTCATCAAATCAGTGTCGGTTAACTCTGTCAACTAGGTTGCCTGTAGGGATTTTTAATGTCCAGCAGGTGTCAGTATTCAGTGACACAGTATCGACACAGTATCAATACAGTTTGGTAATGTGTCGAAACGTTTCATGACGCCTCATCAACCCATCACTAGTTCTTAGCCTTTTCTCTGTTGCCCTCTTTTATTGGTTTCCTTTTCCCTAGCTCTTTTCCTAGAAGCCTCAGTTCACACCTGCTCCCAATCAGCTCGTTATTCCTCACTTTGTGCAGTCACACTAAGCCTGGTTCTGCTGGAGGTTTCTTTGTGTTAAAAAGGGAGTTTTTTCCTCTCCACTTTCACTGCATAGATAGTGTGACAGATTTCTGCAGAGTTAACGACACAATGCAAGCCATTGTTGTCATCACATGCTCATCCATTAACATTTAGCCATATTCTTAGAAAGGAGCTGCTTTGCCCAAAGTGGAATGGATGCTGACTCTCTGGATAAGGCTAGGTTTCCCCCCCAAAACCCACAAATTATCAATGTAGCTAACATCATTTTCAGATCGCCACCATAATAGAAACTAACAGTGATCAAATGACAGCATGCAGCTAAACGTGTCTGCACTGGTTAAATCCAAGGTGGAACAAGGGAAATCACAGAATCCACCATTCTTCTGTCAAACTTAAACACCAAAGCAATATTAAATTTACTGAACTTCAAAATCATTGAAAAGATGTGTTTACATTTTTGCAAGGCAATGTCCTCAAAATGAGAGACATGTATTTATGTTTGCTCCACTTAGTTAAAGATTAAGATTGTGAATTTGGTAAAGGCAGGGAGTCTCCCTTTGGTTCTTAACCTCCCAGCCTTTTAAGCTGATAAAATTAAATAAGACATAGTCCAGTGAGCACTCAGTCAACCTTTTACAATTATAAATGAAGACAGCATATTTTGTGATAATTCAATACACTTTATAACATCTAAACATTACAAGATAGACTGTATTATCAAATAATATCTTCATAAAAACTCCATTAGAAAGGGGTCAGTGACTACCTTGTCGGCTGCCAATGCTCCATTTACAAAATAATGAACTGCTAACAACAAGACAGACACAAATTGCATGATATATGAGACCTACAGGCAGCAGAGGCCTAATTGATAGTCAGATAATGAATAAGTCAGGACACAAGAAACACTAATCAATTAATGCTGTTCACAAGACTGAGCGCACACACAGGTCTGCCAGTAAAAGAGAGTGCTATGTGTTGTCCTAGAGTAAAAAAAAATGAACGACTGATGAAATTAATTAGTTACAATGACAAGATTTTGTATGTCCGAAGCTGTGTTAATATATGCTCTTGTTCTGGGTGGTTGCACTCTGGTGAATATCTCCTGCTTTCCTCCACAAGTCATACTTAACTCTGCTGTTAAGGATCAAATTTATAGATTATTGATTGTGATACGCAATCAATTTAACTTGCCTTCTGGGAAGTTTGCTACTGGTTACACCTGCAGCAGCAATATCCAAAAAAAAACATTAGTTTTTCCTTAATTATATCTATATCTATCCATCTACTTATCTATGTAATTTTTTGGAAAGGATTCAAACATAGATCAAGTCAGTTATTGTTTGTCTTTTCTTTAAATAGATCACTTATAGGCAGTTGTGCTTTTTAGGGTTTGTCACCAGAGGACCAATAAAAATAGCATTTCTATCTATTCATCCATCTATGCATAAGGTAATATGCTACAGAAGACAAAACTACTAATTAGCATGTCTTAAGCTCAATTTGCTTCACATGAAAAGTCAAAACTTTGTAGAGGTACTGCAAAAAAAAAAAATTCTGGAAATATAAGGAGTATTTGAATTTTTTTGCATACTATTCCAAATAAAAACATCAGGGTCACGTGGACCTGTTTAGGTGGGAGTCCAAACATTAAGTAATCAATGAAATAAGAGGATTTAAGGATGTGAACTGTTTGGAGAATTTTCCTTTCATATCAATAGCTTTTATTTTTCTCTTTTTGTAGCTTTGTTCTTGGAAATCTCAATCACTTGATTAAAATTACCTACAAGTAGTCACTATAAATGAAGGTCATATCAAGGTCATTTATAATGAAACTTTAAATAAGCCAGTGGCAAGAAAAAAACAGTTCATATTCCATATATGTTAATTTAGGTACTAGATGTCATCTTTTCCTATCTCATTCTAGTAAAAACTGAGGAAAACCTGTAATTTAACTGATTACTTAGATGGAAGCAGATATATGGACTCATTATGTTTGGTCTTAAAAAAAAACTCTGTCTCCTCTCACATATTAATAAGGGTTGTTGAGGATTGGATTCATTGTTGTCAATGAGGGTGGAATAAGCAAGCAAGCCACCATTGCCAGGACCATGACAATTGTTACAGGTAAAAAAAAAAAAAGAAATAGCTTGTGACATTCATAAAGTTTTGATGTTAAGCACAGCGCCTGCAGATTTTGGTCTGTTGGTCAGTGCTTTAAAGAAAATTGATTCAGAGAGTTTCAAAAGCTAATGTGTCCTTTGTTATGCAACTTTTCAGGTTTGATTAGGAATTTATTAATAACTATAGCTGGAGATATTATTTAATAATTTTTCTGTTCCAATCAAGGGTAACCAATAATAAGAGTTTTGTCTTAATAACTATAACTGACAATTTTCTCAATTACCAGGTGTTTTTAACTGACTTACCTGTGAGGCTAGATATCTGTATTGGCTTTTAAAACCCAATATGTCTTCACCAATAGTAAATATCAATTACTTTTAATATAATTTCAACCACAGTAATTATTCATCAATCACAAGGGAAATATTATCTTTCTCTATTCAAGTTTTTAACTTAAAAGAAACGTTTTTTTAAGTTAATCTAAGGTACGAACCTTTGCGGTTTGAGACAGCAGGTTAGCGACCACATCTTTCTGGAAGTGGATGTTCCCAATTGAGTGCAATTGAGTGGTTTCTGCACAGCGAGTCCAAGATGCAGGTGTATCTGAGGTCAGAAGACAGGCAGGAGATCAGAACCAAGCAGCTGAATGTAAAATAGGCAAAAAAATTCATAGGGCAAAGTCAAAGTTGATGTTGGAAACGTGGTCAGATGTAAGAGCCAGGAAGTCAGAGATACGGTGATGCGCCGAAAGAGGTTTCAAGACTGAGTCATGTAACAGTTCCAGGTTCTATACACAATTGGGTTCATAGGTTGGACAAGGGCAGGTAGACTCAGCGGTCTGGAAATGGTCCCAGTCGTTACACAAGCAGGCAGAGATCAGGCGGGAGTCAGAAGACAGATCAGGCAAACCGATCCCACCTGGAAAAGGCAGACTCAGAGGTCGAGAGGCAGAATGGATCAGGATCAGGTGGTCAGAACACATGTACCTAGAGTAAGTCTCACCACACCACTCGAAATAATCTGGCACTGATGACTGGTTTGAAGGCTGGCGAAATAGAGACTGATGCAGATGGATCAGATAAGCGGGTAAAGAGAACTGGGCAGAGCTAAGCAGGTGTGTGAAGAGTGATGAGAGCAGGCATCAGTGCCAAAATCATGACATAAAAAATTCTCACAGATTATCATAGTTTAGCTAGGGTATATTTCGTAAGTAATATTAATAATTATAATAGCAAGACAAAAAGATGCTCCAGTTCGTATTCACCTTTGACATACTAATCAGTTCATGTAGAGATGGATGCATCTGACACCGCAGTTGGCGCAATACTACCTGAGAGATCCCGGCAAACAACAAACTTCTCCCATGTGCCTTTGTTTGTAAGATCACCCCCACTGAGAAAAATGATTACAGTGGGGATCATGAATTTTTAGCTATCAAGCTCGCCCTTGAAGAGTGAAGGCACTTTCTTGACAGTACTGAGCTCCCAGCCATTATTTGGACCGCTTATAAAAACATTGCCTACCTTCAAACCACTAAAACAAAGGTCCCCTCCTAGCGAATCCGGACCCAACCTGATTTAAAACATATAAAAAATACTGTCCAACGACAGAGTCTAACTTCACTTGCACTGCTTCTCCTGTTAATATGGTAAAGCCATCACGAGCGTCCGGGACCAGGCTGCTGCAAGTGATACAAATTAGCCAATGAGCTGCGTCAGTCTGGGTTGCTGCTGCTAGCTACTTTTAGACACAGCAGGCAAACCTGTGGCAAGCCGGGCGATTAGAAAGAAAGAGAAGATGATGAGGAAAAGAGAGCAGAGAACATGTGGACTGCTTGAAGAAGAGCAGTGAACTGGTGAAAGAAAAGGGAAACGGCGGGCTCAGAGATGACCTTACACATTTTGAGTATGTTTGGCTCAACCTACTGCTGTGAAGCAGGATTCCCCGCCATAAACATAATCAAAAATAGATATGGATCCAGGCTCAAAATGAGCTCATTGACATGTGCTTGAGAATGGCTTTGTCAAACCTAAGTTTAAAGCCT